GTGCAAAATTAAAACATAGTTGTTTCTGCAACTGTATTTGATAATGTTTTGAACTTTTTAAAATATTGCATGGTAAAAACAGAAGCTGCACTTGATATTAGTGACAAACTTTGGTGTTTTTTGACAAGTTACCTTCATTTTTGCTTCTACTTTTCATTTAAAATACGTTTCCATTCTCGGCAGGTTTCTAAGGTTCTTCTACATATTAAAAAGTTGTTAAACATCTGAGTGGCGCACTACTGATACTAGTGGTGAGAAAGTGTATTGCACCTTATTCAAAATCAATGCGGTCCCATGGCCCTCTGCGGCCCAAAGTTTAAAATTGTTGTTCTTTTGAGGCCCTCAAGGTGGCGCTTGTGGCCCACAATTGGGCCGCGACCCATGGGTTAAGAATCTCTGCTTTAGAAGAAAAGTTGCCAGTTCAACTTTCCAGACCAACAACAAAAAATGTAGGCGGGAAACCCTAATTTGCCCAATTAATTTAATTTAATTAATTAGCAAGGCCCTTAACCCCTAGCTGCTCACCAAGCACCTTATTTGGCACTGCACATGTGCCCACATGTGATGGGAAAAATGCAGAAAAATAACTTCGCACTGAGGGACAATAAAACATACACTTTTTAATGGCTGTAATTCAGTCAACGTTACAGATTCAGAAATTGAGCTAAAATTTGTCAAGGTTTTAGCTGAGAGACTTCTCTGTCTTTTTCTCCAACAGCGCTGGACTTGGGGCATTGAACAAAGATGATTATTTCTCATAAGGTGATCTTAGTTTTAAACTCTTGCAAAAAAAGTGGCAGCTTATTTGCCTTCTTTCAAAAAAATACAAGCTTAGCTACAGCCTAGCATACATAGAGCAACTAAATCCAGTTTAAAACCTGCATTTGGGTTAGTCTGAACTGATAAACTCTAGTAACAAATGAGTTGCTTTGTTTAAAAACTCTGCCGTGTCCTGAATAACCAAAACCAACACCAGGGGTGTCCAATCCTGGACCACAAGGGCCACTGTCCTGAATGTTTTAAAGGTTTCCCTGCTCCACCACACCTGACTTGAATCAATGGGTGATTAACAGGCTTCTACAGAACTTGAAGAGATAATTTAATCATTAAATCCGGTGAGGGAAACATGTAAAATGCAAGATAAATGACCCTCAAAGACCAGGATTGGACACCCGTGATTTCCACCTACTAAAAGTGTCCTTTAAGTTTCTAAGTAAACCTGAAAGTCAACAGCAAGTGTCTTTTGATGACATTTGATGCAGCTGCTCTCCAGATTAGGTTCTCCCACAGAAAACCTAAAGCAAGTTCCACATGCCTCCCCCTCRTCAAACCTGCGAAAGATTCGCCCAAAGATGGGCAGAAAAGTTTCAAGGGACTTCATCCGACACCAAATAACTGCTGGATAACTAGGCCTGCTTTTTCAAACGGGGTGGGCAACATCAGATCAGCTGTCAGATCCAGTGAGGTTTACAAAGAGAGCAGTGGACAGCAGCTCCATGGGGCTCGCTGCGGAGCCGCCGTCGTCCCACCACAATAGGAAGGTTCGCAAGTTGATCTAACACTTTTTGATTTAGCCTCCAAATCACCGCCAGGCAAATGGAGTGAATAAAGCGTG